ACTGACCATTTAAACAATAGTTGTTGATATGTTGAATAAGTTATTGTTTAAAAATATATATACGTTTTTGGACATACTTGTAAGTCATTAGTCATTACTAAGTAGTAAGCGTTTGTCTTCAATTATCATTTTATATTTTATTTGTTTATTTAGATATTGCTGACTTTACGGAACAATAGCTATTAATAATAATAGCTATGTTTATTTAAATACATTTATTAAATTTGAACTTATAATTTTATTGCGTATTTCAATATAAAGATAATTATAAAACGAGGCTTTAATACCTTCGCTTACTGAGATTTTTTTAACATTTCTTGCAATTCGTAATTTTGCTCAAATTTTGAAAATAAGTTATACAAATATAATTTAATATGTTTTAATTAGTGCATTATAGATTAGTAATGTAAACAAATAACTATAATACATTGAATAAATGAATCAAAGGTATATTAAATAAAAAAACATTTTTGTTTTATAAGTACAATTTAATATAACATCAATGAATACAGAAAATCGCTTAAAGTTTTTATTTCTTATCAAGTATAATTGACTATTACGCGGTGAAGGGTGTGTTATCCTCCTTAGCCCTAAAACATTTATTTTTATTTTTGACATTATATCTTAAACAGTATGATTACAAAATTATAACCTCAAAGTAATATTTAATTTAGTAGTATTCTATTGTTTTACTAATTTTATTTTTGTACCTACAACAGAGATCAAGTATTATAACTATAGTTTACTAAAGCTGCTTAAATAATAATAATAAAAAAAATCCCGCATAAATTATATTTTGTATGTATTAATTTTTTTACAATAGGTTAAGTTTGGTAAGAGTAAACTATATAAAAATATGTCGAAGGAAAAATAATCTTAAAATGTATTGGAAAAATTAATTTTTTAAAGTTTTATGTAGAGTCAATTATATTATACTTTTGCAGACTGTATAGAATGGTGTTGCTTGTATTAGTATTTTTAAAAGAACTTGTAACGATTGATTTATGTAAAAAGTTGTCAGTCTTATGAATATTTTGGTTTGAGTATCAGCATTTGAAGAAATATCGTTAAATATCTTCTTTTTTTTTATATAATGATTTATCAAAAAATTAAATATTGCAAAATATTACTATATCCTATTCTGAAATGAGCGTTCATGTAATTTGAACATTTCATTCATACTAACAAACTAATAATTGAATATCATTAGTCATAATTAAATAATGATATCTTAATAAAATATTATTTTAAAAATAAGTAAAATAAATTTGTATTAATTAAAGTATAAAATATGTAAGAGCATTTGATATGTATTTGTAAAATATTTAATTATTTTTAATATTTTTGTACTAAGTATTGTATTTTTTTTTCTAATAATATTTATTATCAATTATTTTAATAATATTTTTATGATTTTTGAAGCTTTATATAATTTATAAGTATATGTTTATAAAAAAGAAAGATTTTAAAATAGATATGTAGTAATTTGTCTAATGATTTTTATTTGTAACATAAAAATATATATTATTATATTAACGTTATAATGATATTTACTAAAATAACAACACGATACTTGGTAGAAGAGTTTATGTAATTATTAGAATACCATTAATTGAATCGAATAAATGATTTTCCGTTATTTAATTTTAATTTCTGGGTTTTAGTTTATTTAATTACCCTATTTTATGATAGTAAGGGTAGGAAATTTAGGAAATAGGTCAAGGAAATATTAGGGAAAATAAAACCTTCATTGATGTTGTTTATGTATAATGTTTAAATTTTGTGATCAATAAAATAAATGTACGTTGGTTTGGTTTGTATATAAATTTTGGTTAGTATATCAGATTGTTCTTAATTTCTCCTCTCAAATAAAAACATATGAATTATTTATAAATTATGAATATCGACTGTGATGTTAATGATGATTTAAAACTAGTAATCTACATATTATCGTTGTATGATATATCATTGTTTAAGTTGTATTCACCACCAAAAAAAAAAAAAAAATTATCTTGTACACAGTGGTATGATTTGTTCAGCACGTTTGTATAATGAAATATTATTTTACATACATTTTAAAACCTTTCATTAATAATAATTAATACGTTTATTTTGGTAAAGACATCAGTTTTGAAATATATAATATTTTTTTTTTATCAAGATAACGACATCAATGAAAATTTCTTTGATAGATATTTATTATTTTGATTAATTTTTTCTTAACTATTATGCATTTTTTAGTATAATATTTTAAAATAAAAATGAGTATCTTTTGATTTTTACTTTATTTTATGGTTTGTATGTGTATAATTATTAAATGTTTACTATTATAATGTTTGTTCAGACAGTTTCAAGAAAAAATGTGGTGTTTTGTAAAAAAAAGCTGTGTAGCGAACTTTTTTCATTTTTGATTCCTCTTTAGATTTACAGTTATTCAGTTTTTATTTTTAACCAATTAAGCTCTACAAAAAAATTAAAATTTTTTAAATAATGCTTTTTAATTTATTGTTCTACTTCTAAATCAATAATTCTATTATACACGTCACAGTAATTTACCCAAATCAAGGTCTAGTTTTATTTAACTAAGATTGTAATATTTTGAAACATAGTATAATATATCTACTATATACGAATATTATAGAATTTTTAAGTTGAAAAAAATATTTCAATATAGTTACTCACAAAACAGCTGTATTCACTATTAGCAGTATTTTAGTCTAATTCGAAAGCTTTAAGTGTTTAAACAAATTTTAGTTTAAAGATTTTAAGATATTTTATGTATTAAAGAAATGTAATTGAATGAATCTTGTTTATAATTATTAATTACTAGGATTCAAAATTATATAATTAAACCAAATAAATTTCAGTTTTTAGTGAAATATAAACATTTTTGACCATTGTTTTCTAAACATCATTAAAAATTTAAAATAAAATATTGCAATTTAAGACATTCATTTTTAAATTTTAAATTAACAATAGCAAAAGAAAATTTCTTGTTGACTTTGATAGTGATTGGTTTTGATTTAAGGATGAACATTTCTATTAATACTTTAATGCCAATGTATATGTGTGATTTAATTACATTGTTTTGAAATTTATTTAGTACATATTTTAATTTAATTTTAGCAAAATATGTACAATTTGTAAAATATTATTAAATATTGTATTAAATAAAATTTATGTAATAGTAAATATTTGTAATTGATTTATATTTAAAATAAAATAGCTCGTATGGTGTTAATATAATATTATGTTAATTAGGTAGGTAATCTACTTTAACATTGTCATATTTTCTAATTACAAATTTTTTGAAAAATATAAATCTTTTTTTTTTTTAATATCATATACAATTTATACTTTTTAATGATTTGTTTATTTTTATACTACGATATGAAATTTAAAAACGTTTTAATGATAAGTGATGTATGAAATGTTACATACATTTCATATTACTATGATTTACAATACTTGTACATGTACTTCTTATTTTATAAATATTAGGTTTTGATGAGATTACTAGTACTAAAAAGTAAATGCAAGATTTTTTTTTAAATCTTTGTATTACATTAAATATAAATACATAAATACATATACATTTCATTAATTTTGTTTTGAAAAATTTTTTGTACTTGAATTTTTTTCTTTTATTTAGAAATTTAGATTCTTAGTAATTTAAAACATATAAATCTTTAAATTTTACAAAATATGTTTATGAAAAAATATATCTATTACAATATTAAAAATACTTTGTGATAATAAACAAAAATTGTATTTTAAGTACAAATATATGTTTTATACTATTTAATAAGTAATGGAAAAAAATCATTTATTCCAAACTCCAGTCTATTGTGTTTTCATTTTATTTCCATGTGTCTTTTATTATCATGAGTCATTTTAATATGTTAATTTTAATTACTATAGGTTGTAGGTATTCTAAAATATATTTTTTTATATATTTCCATTTTTAATAGCATAACTTTTATCTGAATACTTGTCGATGTTTTCTAATCTATGCGATAACTTATGCTCAAGTCCAATTGTTGATGTAGTTAATCTGTATTATTGGTTTAATTAAGTGTTGGTATGGCTAATTGCATTAAACTTCGGTTAAAGTGTTGTTGGTTTTTTGAAAGTTAAATATTTTTTTAATTTATATAACAAATAGAAGTATTATAGATTTAATCTATACTATTATTTATGAAAGTGATATCAATAGTTTAATGATATTTTGTTGTAAGTTATACTTAGTCTATAAATATTAAAATAGTAATTTTAAATTTATTAATTTTTCAATTTAATTATTATTTGATGTATTTAAAATTTATAATTTTTTTGAACTGTGCAATGTGCATACATTAAATATGTTGATGTATTTGGCGAACATATTTCGTATTCTGATATTCTGAAATAAAGGTGCTTAACACTCTTCTACTGGATTTATATATAATAAATTCTTTGTGCTGACTTAATGGATTAATTTTTGATGCAATATGTTTGCCACAAAACTTGATAAAAATTTAATTTTGTCTAAATTGAGGATATTATATAAAATATTTTGAATTTTTTTTTAAATTTTATTATCAATATTAATGTTCTATAATAACGCTTTATTATTTTGAATAGATAACGAAAGTATCTTATATTAAAAAAAATATATATTATAATTAATATTTAATTTTTTTCAATAATATACCTAACAATTTTTTTTCTTTATTAGTTATCAACTTGTAATACATCTATTTATGATTTATGAATTAAATAAATGACATGTATCATTAAATGTAGTTAATGAAGTAAAGTTTGGCATTGGTAAAGTAATTGCGTGTTAAAATATTTACTAATAAATATATTTTTATTTTAAAAGTATAAATTATATTATATGCATGCTCCCTTACAAAAAAAAGAAAATGTTTATTAATTTAGAAAATGTTAACACGTATATATCATTATATTTATAAACTTTATATAATGAAACTAATTTTTGATCTTTTTTATTTTAGGGGTTTTGGAAAACAAGGATTTCAATGTCAAGGTAAAAAAATTTGGAATAATTTTAATAATTTATCTAGCTTACACATTTTAATTAAGAAATATAAAATAGATAAATTAGTTTAAATGCAATGCATTTCTTAGGGGAAAGATAAATGTATTGATTTTATAATGATGTGTTTTTTGTTTTTGTGAATGAATACATGATAAGTTGTTGATAAAATGCTTCGACTTTCAAAAGAGGGGTTACATTTGGATATGAGATTGGATCTAGTTTGTACTTAAAAGAAGTCAAGTTTAAAAATATCCCAGTATTTATTTTTATAATCAGGAAAAACAAATAAAGTATCAAAGAAAAACAGAAATTTTCGACAAAGTCGATTTTGTTTTTTTTAGTGTAACTTAAAAACGAAAACTACTAAAAATTTTACATCAATTATTTATACATTCATTTTTTGTTTAGGATAAAATGTTCAAAACAATTGGACTCTTTTTGAACTATTTTTAATTAAGAGAAATTATTAATTTTTTTTAGTTTTTTTTCATGAAAATGTTAATTAGAAATTATTTGCTAGGCAGAAATTTAATGAAAATTTAATACAGAGCTCCTCATAAGTTATTAATTTCTTAATTAAAAAGTATCGGAAATGTATGGCCACAATATTTTTTATAAATTTTTTAAGTTAGAATTTTGATAAAAATCGCGAAAATTAGTAAATATTTTTGTAGTTAGAAATTTATAAAAATGTTTTCTGTGTAAGATTAAAAAATTTAATTTAATATTCTTCAAAAGTAGTTAATACTAAAACCATAAAATTAAAAAAAATTTAAAGAAAATCATTTCGTTATAGGCATGTTAAGTTCCAATCTGGGTGAAATTACTTATTTAAATGATAAATAACAATATGTTAATTATTTTGTTAATTTTTTTAAAAACATTAAATGTAGAAACTTACATTTTTAAGTATTTTATAGTATATTATAAATTTTTATTATACGTAATAACATTTTTAATTTATTTTAAGAAATTATTAACTATTTATATTTTATACTTGGAATTTATTTTTACTGTTTTATGTCATAAAAAGAAAAATTTTATTAAACTTTGAGTTATATAAGTGAATATAGTATCGTATAAATGTATATTAATATTATAATTAAATACTAATAAATAATTAATGCAATATTAAAAAAAAAAATTAACTAGTTTACCATAGTAATACTAAAAATAAAATAAATGACTAATTATAGCTATATCATAAACATATATCATCAAGTGATATAGGCTGATAGACCGTTTCCGCTTAGAATTGTTTAATAATATATCATTCAATTCAAATTTAACACACCTATAATAGTGCCTACTCGACACTTAATGTATAGTAGAGAGGTACCCACTTATCTACCCCTACCTACTTTTTTATATTTATAATTACAGTATAATTTATAATGTTGGATGTTTTTCAGTTCCAATATTACTTAACTTCGTGTAATTAAATTGCTAATTCTCCACGTTCGATTATTAATTTGTTTAGTTGTAATATTTTACATGCTTATAACTTGCTTAAAAATTAAAATAGGTATCGTAAAAAGCCATAAAGTACAGATAATATTCTTACTTATAATTTTGATGATTTCGTCAATTCTCTTTATTATTCAAGATTATTACAAAATATTGAAACTGTAAAAAAAAAAAATTTGATATTACACAACCATATAACAAAGACTATACATTGCGTTTCAAGATTTCAAATGTTTTTTGAGTGTATATTTGGAAAATTCTGAATAATATTAAGCGATTTATAATAATGTGTTTCTTTTCAATCATATTGTTGTTGGTTTTTCATTTAAAAGGAGTGTTATAATTGATCGATATAATAATTTTACTTTATGTATTGGTTGCACATTATACAACAGTAGTATTCAAAATTAGTGAGATATTTTCAAAAATTATTTAGATAATGATGATTGTTTTAGTTTTTTTTTTTTTTTTATAATTTTATGATTATATGTTTTAAGTGATGTAATTAATTAGAAGTTATACTTAACCTAAAAATATAAATTCGATATTATTAAATGAGATTTTAATTAAAGCATTATAATTTAATTTAATTTATAAGGTACCTAAAATACAAAACTCTTATGATTAAAGTTTTTTATTTTACGTTATATTAGTGACGTCCAAGGTGAAACCCCCACTGAATATGCCATGTACAATATTTAAGTATACAGAGTAATTTTTTAAACACGCTTAATCATTTAAAAAAAAATATATATATATATATATTACTTACTTTGACATTTTAAGAAATTAATCACGCGTGTATTTTTATAAGGCGTATTATTTAGATTTTTTAAGTCAATATAAATATTATATCATGATATTTTGTGCAGCTACAATAAATTCTAAATAACAATCTTTGAGGTGTAAATGGATGACTGCAGATCAGTATTTCACCATGACTAAATTCGTAATCCTCGGAATACGGGTGACACGTTTCTTCCAATTGGAAGTGATGAAGTTTTTAAATTTAATATACATATTATATAATATACTTTTTTCGTGTTGGATTATCGTCACTTCTTACCATGGGCGCCCCCAGACATTTTTTTAGGGGGGGGGGGGGGGGAAATATTTTTTATCTGAATACATAGGTAGACCTATTTTTAGAAGCTTATTTCTCATTGGGAATTTAACCAATTGCTGTGGAAAAAAAATTATTCCAGCCTTCAGGGGGGGGGGGGCAAGTGCCCCGTCTTGCCTTCCCTCGAGGACGCCCATGCTTCTCACATTATCAACATTTAAGCATTTGTAAACAGAGTGAAATACGGTTTGGTTGAGAATCGTAAACGACGTAGTAGCTATGGATAAAACTGTAGGCAACTATTGTTTTCTATTTGACCACATATACAGCAATAAAGCTTCTAAGTACATAATACTCTCGATCGATGAAATTTGGTTTACTAATTAAGCGGTTCAAGTTGATAGTTTGTTTCCTAAAAAAATCCGCTATTTAGAGATATCTTATCTGTTATCGGAGATTTCACTATTTATAAAATATATGCATTTCTTATGTATCTGTTTATGACTAATCAACACAAATACCATAATTATCCGTTTGTAAATAATATTAATCATTATATAAATGGAGGTCTAAATATTTATTCCAAATTATGCTGCAAAATTATACATTTTACACAGATACCATCACTAAGTTTTTTTTTTGTACGACTTTTGGAGGATTTGCCTCTTCTCAAACATCCCTCAATAAATATTTTCACTTGTTTTTTTTATTATAGTTATTAAAGTGGGTTGGTACTGCATTATGGATAAACTAAGTTTGTAGACATTAAATTATTTGATTGTGTAATCGATTTTGGAGTATTAAACCACTTTTATAAGTATATTACGTATAAATTAATTTAAGTGTTGATTTTTTTTTTATCTATATTATAATAATAAGTAAATAAAGTAACAACAAAAAAAAAAAAAAAAACATAAATAGTTAGGTGTGTATGAATAATAATTATTTTTTAAATAAAATACAATTAATATTTTAAAGTTTTAAATGAAAATTTACTTTATGTTCATAAGAACACGTCAGTGGGTAATCGCTATATTTTCCTTAGTTGGTCAGTCGCTCTTAGATAACATGGCGTTGCTAAACTTTTAGTTTACGTATTGTGGAAGTGCATGTAGGTAGTTGATGAAATTTCAGTGTAGGTAACAAGTTTGTGAGTATCATTATTTTCAGTCTGGCGAAACGCTTTGCCTGTTTTCCTAGGATTACAAATTGAGGTTTGCGCGTTATTTAGTGTCGAGGTAAGGTTTGGATATTATGGATATAGTAACTTATATTATTCATAGGTTCCTTATATTTTGTAAATAATAGACTGCTACACTCTTGTATGGTCATATGCAGGTTCTATGATATTAATGGTTAGAAAATAAGTTAGGATCGTAATAAGGGTTAAATAATAATTGGATTGTATTGCATATTTATGAATTTACTTTTTAGTTAAAATTTGAATCACAAGAATGTTCATATAAAAATAGTGACCTCTATCAAAGTTCTATCTTTTGCTAACACCCATTTTATTTTTTAAATCCATAAACGAGTAAAAAAAAAAATATATTATATTATTTATTTATTAAAAATTAACATTTATGTGGTCATAAGAATTAATTTTAATGCAATGTTATCTTTATGGACGATTTATCATTGTTTATAGTTGTCTCTAAGGTTGCATTCGAGTTGATTCCCGGGTCATTATATATTTTTTTCAATATTTATTCAAATATACAGCCTATTAGCGTAATACAAGAAACACTATGAGGAGATTTTATTTTTATTAAAAAAATTTAGTAATTTGGTAAAAATGTATAACAAATTGTTTTTAAAAATTGGTATCTGGTAATGAGATAATCAGTATACCACTTCATTTATTTAAAAAAAATTGTTTTTTTCTTAGTTTTTCTTAGATTTCCTAGTCCCATTGCTTCTGAATTTTATATTGATATACAACAATAAGGAATCAACTCTTGCATACTTCTTAATGACCTGGAAATCAACTTGTACATAAAATAGATTTCAGGAATCAAATCACTTTCACCGGCCTTTAATAAAGCAAGAAATTATAATTTAACTATAATTTAATTTAAATCTGAATGAAAAAGCAATCATTTTGAATTCTTTCATTAATTACATATATATTGATAGGAACCAAGTCTGATTTAAAAAACTGCACATGTATTGTGTAATAGTACCTACTTAATGAATTTAATATTAATTACAGATTTGACTAAATTATAGTAGATATAATATACATCCAATATATTATGTGCATGAAATATTTATAAAATATTTTTTGTTTGATTTTTTTTTTAATAAATATTGAAAAAGTTAAACGTTTATATTGTTAAAGTGTATTGTATATATCTCATTAGTATTGTAACAATGTTCTACCCAGTAGAACAACAAATAGTTTATTTACAGTAGAATCTACTGTATACTATGCATATGACTTGAATAATTAGATATT